ATTCGATAGAGATTTTGATTATCCATAAAAATGTGCGGCTAGAATCTGCTAATTCAAGTAAGAGATTATGTTTTCATTTTTATTTCATTTTGTTGCTTTTTGAATCTGGTCTATAGTTACCTTATTTTTTCAATTAAAACAAAATTTGAGAGTAAATTTATTCCTAATTAGTTTATTACTCTAAATATTTATTAAGACTAATTTGAAAAAGTCAATAAAAATGATATCTGATATCCTAAAATCACATCTGAAAGAATAAAATTATCTAATCTAATTTAATTTACTGATTTATTTAGAATATCGTTGTGAGTATAATCCCCCTAATTTAGATTAATTTATTCATTTATATATATATTATTCAAAGTAGTCAAGAAAAATAGCACTTTTATATTTGCTTTTTCTAACTTCATACATACTGCTACCTGCCATATTTAAGAGCTTTCAAAATTCCAAAGCATAGCAATTGTTAAGGGTTCCTTCAGTTTAGGAAAACCCAATGTATTTTATAATCAACTATTATTGAAAATTTATTGTTCTAGTATTTCAAGTTGAGCATTTATCTAATTCAAAGTATTAATTTTTGATAAAAGAGTGTTCCTTTGATAAACAAGGATGCATTACTAAAAATAAATTAAATATATTAAATTCCCATTCATTTTTTTAAGTTTAATCCATTTAAAAAAATTAATTATAACAAATTTGTATTTCTTGAATAAGCATATAATAAACTTAACATGAGCAATAATAACTTAATTATGCTATTTTTTAAATATTTATTTAATATTAATTCTCTCATTATAAGATTAGGAAATTATTTTTATTTTCTTTTATAAAAAGAATGGCATTTTTAAATAGTTAAGAAAGTAATTTCAAAACTAAAACTTTTAGAATTAATAGAAGATAATTCTGATACAAATATATATTTTATTAAATATGTCTAAAATTATTCATTTCTTATTTCTTAATTCCTTAATTAATTGTCTAAACTCATTCTAATATAATTTGCAATATAAAACTGCTTGCTCATAATTATCTATGGCTTATTAATACTTCTTCAATTGAGTTAGTAAATAACCTATTAAAATGAAAAAATTGATAAACCTTTATTAATATAGACTGATACATAATTAGGATCCAGTTGGATTGCTTTATCATAACAATTAATTGCATCGTTATAATTACCAATATCATCTAAGGAAGCGCCTATTAAAATGAAAAAATTGATTAACCTTTATTAATATAGACTGATGTATAATTAGGATTCAGTTGGATTGCTTTATCATATGAATTAATTGCATCGTTATATTGTTTTAGATTTTATAAGGAAGTACCTATTAAAATCAAAGAATTGATTAACCTTTATTATTATAAGCTTATGAATAATTAGGATCAAGTTGTATTGCTTTATCATAGCAATTAATTGCATCGTTATATTATTTTAGACTTTATAAGGAAAAGCCAATTAAAATCAATAAATTAAATGACCTTTATTATTATACGCTTTTGCATCATTAGGATCGAGTTGAATTGCTTTATTATAACAATTAATTGCATCGTTATATTATTTTAGACTTTATAAGGAAAAGCCAATTAAAATCAATAAATTAAATGACCTTTATTATTATAAGCTTTTGCATCATTAGGATCGAGTTGAATTGCTTTATTATAACAATTAATTGCATCGTTGTATTTTTTAAGATTTTATAAGAAATTCCCTATGAAAATCAAAAAATTGACTTACCTTTACTAATATAGGCTAATGCATTATTAGTATCTAATTTGATTGCTATATCATAGCAATTAATTGCATCGTTATATTTACTAAGATCATCTACAGAAGCACCTAATAATATCGAAAAATTGATTAACCTTTATTAA